GCTAGTATAGCTTAATACTATTACTAATTAAAGTAGGCGCCTAAAACACCTTAGTAATATAAAAACTAAGCTTATATACTAACGCCCTAAGTATTTTACTATTAGTAGTAGTAGTATTTTTTTTTATTATCTTTTAGCTACTAATATAGGGAGCTTAGTAATCTCTCCCCTATTAAGGTATATTATAATAAACTAAGCCTTTTATATTATAGCCTTAGTAATATAAAAGGTCTATCTTATAATATTAAAGGAGATACTACTAATATACTTTACTATATATAGCGCTAACTAACATAAGAAGAATATAATAAGGTTATTTAGTATTAGCCCCTCTGCTTTAAATATTAATAGCCCTAGCTTACTAATAAAGCTATAGTAATTAATAAAGAATACTAAGTAGAAGGCGTTAGTTAGCCTTACTAGGGCGCTACTAAATACACTAGACCTAAAGTTAACTATATTCTTCTCTTATAGCAGCTAGATTATATTAGCTAATATAAAATTAGTTCTTTATATCTTCTTAATTAACTATCTAGCTAGAGGCTAATTAGGTTAGCTATACTTATTAGGTATATAGGTAGGTAGCTTTACTTAGGAGGTAGGCTAGTTAATAGCTAACGCTTAGGTTATACTTTTAAACTAATAGCTACTAGTTAAGTAGTCTACTTTTTAGGTATATATATCTTTTACTTTATTAATATTATCCTCCTTACTACTATTATTAGGCGCTTATATAAACAGCTTGTCCTTATTACTAAGTAGCTTAGTACTAGGCAGCCTTTTTAGGTTACTAAGGCTATTATTAGACTAGTTATTCTTAATAGTACTCTATATAATAGCTTTTATCTCTAGATAAGAAAAGCTAAGGTTATATAATAGCCTAATAAAACTACTAAGTATTATAGTTTTTATATTATATTTAGGTTTATAATAGGTGTTTAGGTCTTATATTATATTAAGCCTTTACTTATATACTATACCTTCTAATACTTTACTAATAACTAAGTAACTATTACCCCTACCTATATACTACCTACCCCCCTCTACTTCCTTACTATATAGTATTACCTAAAACCTTTTGCTTTTTCTATAGCGTTACTAGAAGAGGAGGGGAGAGGTAGCTTTACTATCTTATAAAGTATAAAGTAACTTTATATAACCTTAGGCTAATAAGACTATAGTAATCTAGGCTAAATATCTAATAGCTATTAGTAATTATTTATAAAGACTTATATTTAGGTTATATAAGGTTACTTTATACTTAATAAGATAAGCCTTATAGGGATTAGTAGGAATTACTAATTATAAAAACCTTTATAAAATAAACCCTCTGCTTTTTTCTTTATCTTCTTATATAGTTACCTTAGCTAGTAAATACCTACTATATAAATTTTATTAGCTATATAAGTACACTAGCTAGGTAATACTATATTACTACTATAACTACTTATTTATACTAATTATTATTTATTTATTTTTTCTTTTTATAGTAGCCCCCCTTATACCTACCTAAGGCCTATTTATCTACTTAGGCTTAACCTATACTTTAAGTAACTATACTATAGCTAGGCTACTACTATTAGGTCCTATAGTTAGTAAGGCCCTTCTTAATCTTAAGGGGGAATAATATACCTCTATAGTTTATAGTTAGGGTAGTAAAGGGCTATCTAATAATAATAACCTTTTAAGGGACTAGGCTTATAATATAGTATATACCTCTTACTACTACTATCTAGCTAAAAAGCTATTAGCCCTAGCTATAAGCTAGGGTCCTTTAGGTAATAGGTCCTATAGTACGCTTATACTACTATAGGTAGTATTCTTAGCGTTATTATATAACTTCCCTAAGTAGGCTATAACTAATATATAAATAATATCCTTAAGATTAGCTAAGGTAATAAGGTTAAGTTTTATCTTATTAATAGTACCTATAAGTAATAAGGTAATATATTTATAAATAGTCTAAATAAGTGTAAAGACCTTACCCCTCTACCCTCCTCCTCCCCTACTAATACTAGTCTTAAATAAGGTACTATTTACTTACTTAGGCTAAAAGGTTTACCTTATTATAGTGCCTATAGCCTTACGTACTAGTATAAGGAGCTAGGCCTATATAAGGTAAGAGAAACACTTAGTGTAGTTAGGGCAGCTAATATTAGTCTAGTTATTACCCTTAAGTAGGTATGTTATAGCAGCTACCTAGAAGGTAACTATATATTCTTAGGTAAAGTCTAGGACGTACTTCTATAGCTACCTTACCTCTTTATCTAAAGAAAAGCTATTATCTAAGGGGCCTAGCGCCTAAAAGGCTGTCTTAAAATACTTATATAATAGCGTCTTTTTTTATATTATATAACTCTATATATAGATAGTAGCTATATAGTTAGTATTAATTTAAGTAATAATATAGTATAAGATATAAACTATATCCTATTTAGTACTCCTCTTAATATAGTAAGGGGTTAAAAAAAATAGTATAAGTATCTTAGTAATAAACTAGTATATTTAGTTATACTTAGCGTTACTTAAGGATATAAAGAGACTAATAGTATATATATATTAGCTACTACCTTATATCTAATAAAGTATAGTAAGGACGTTAGCTTCTATTAGGCCTTAGTAGCTATAAAACGCTACTACTAGGTGCTCCTAGTCCTAGTAGCTAATATAAGTAGCTATATTAATAAGTAGCGCCTTAAGGGCGTTAAGTACGCCCCTAAGCGACTTAAACTAGTACTTATTAATATATAGGCTTACTATTTACTTAAATATTAAAATAGTAAAGACCTCTAGGCTAAGCCTTATTTAGTACTACTATATAATTATATTACACTACTACTTATAGTTCTATAGGGTTATAAGCCTTTAGGTAAGGAACTACTACTTACTACTAAGCTAGAGCTTCTTAACTAGGTAGTAGTTAACTACTACCTACCTACTAGTAATAATCCCTTTAGTATTAAATATAAAAGATACTAGCTATATTTAGATCTACTTATAGTTATTAAGTAGTATAAGGTTAGTATAATTAAGGTGTATTCTTATATTAAGGTGTTATAGTAGTTAGTCTATTTATATATTAGTTAGTTCTACTAGCTTAGTAAGTATAACTTAGTCCTTAACTATACTATCTTAAGCTAGGCTATAGTCTAGCCTATTTAGTAGTATATATTACCTTTATTATAAAGCTTATATATTTACTAAAGGTCCTTATACTTACTACTAGTCTCCTTAATATACTCTTATAAGGCCTTAATATAGTACTAGCTTATTATAACCTTAAACTTAGTGTAGTTACTAGTAATTTATTATATAAAGTAGTCCTTTTCCCCTTTAGTCCCCTCCTTAGTAGGCCTACTAGCGTTCTCTTATAGCTATTCTACTACCTTAAAGCTATAAAGCGCTATAATCTAGTTCTTAGGTATATACTACTTTAGCCTACCTTACTTAAATATCTTCTTAAGCTTTTATATATAGGCTAGCTTAATAAGCTAGTTCTTACTAATACTTTATATTATCTTTAGTAGGTTTAGTAGTAGTTACTTAATATATATAAAGTATAGCCTAACTAGCTCCTTAACTAACTTACTTTCTTAAAAAAAGGTGTTATTACTAAGGCTAGCTTTTAACTATTATCCTTTACTATTTAGTTAAGTAGTTACTTACTTTTACTTTATCTCTTAACTTAATAATACTACTAATATACTAGTACCTCTTAGTAATTAGTTTATCTTACTAGTAGTAATTAAGTAAGATAGTTACTACTTTAGCTATTTCTCTCTTTAGTTAGGGGATATAGTCTTAGGCTTTAGATAGTATAGTATAAATAAGGTTAGTATATAAGTAAGGAAAATATAAAGGAAAGTAAAAGATATAAAGAGGTATTATAAGGGAGATAAATAGTAGTCTTATTATATAATCTTACTACTATTACTATAATATATAGATATAAGTCCTATATAAGGGGTAGTAACTAACTATAAAACCTAATTAGGCTATAAGGATTTTTAGTTTAGGTTATATAGTCTTTATATATCTACTATATACTTAGCTAAGACTACTATATATCTTAAGGAGGCTAGACTTTAGTGGCAGGCTATCCGCCGGTGGCCCCCCCCGTCGGCCGCTTAGACCGTCCGATGGCCAAGCCTTACGCCTAACTCCTGATCTCTCGGGGCCCTAAGCCGGCTACCCGCCGGTGGTCCCCCCGTCGGCCGCTTAGACCGTCCAACGGCCAAGCCTTACGCCTCACGCCTATCCTCCGGTATCTCGGGAGTCGTCTGGGAACGCCTGCCGGGCCCGGCGGGCTGCCAGACAGGTGGTTGTCTCCCCAGCCAACCATCTGCCCTCAGCCTCGCCCTTATGCTATCACGTTCCGGCTGGGCCCCAACTGCTACCCCCCTGGTGCAGTCCAGTCTCCCAGCCCGGAGCACAAGTCTCGTGTCGCCCCGCCCAGCGGGGGACCACTTGCTCCGCGATAGGGACACCTTATCTGCCTACGATACCCTCTAATACCCTTTGTTGACTAGGCCCTATAGTACCCCCTTGGGTACTACGTGCCTTCTGTTGTTCTTGTTATTATGATATCTGGCTCCTTTGTTGACTGTCTGTTAAGCCCTAAGTTATACTACTCTCGCGATAAGGGAGAATCCTTGCTTCGCCCTCTGTAGTTGGCGCTGGTGACCCCCTGGTCTTGGCCGGCCTTCCCTACCAGGGCCCGTTCGGTCCTGACTCTGTGGGCTTGAGTTGTTGTTGTAACTAGCCCTCTTCCTGACGCCAACCTGAAATAGGCAATCTAAATTAACCTAGGTTTCCGTCGATTTCTTTGTTGCTTGTTTTCTTCCTTTTTCTTTCTTGCAATACCCTCACGTTGTTGTTGTTTTTTTCTTCCGCCGCCGCTATCGCCGCCGCCGCCATCGCCGCCGCCGCCCAGCAGCAACAGCAACAGCAACAGCACCAGCAACAGCACCAGCACCACCAGCTCCCCCGCCGCCGCCATCATGTCCGCCGCCGCGCCCGCCAACGCCGCCGCCGCCGCCGACGCCGCTGCCCCTGCTGCCCCCAAGGGCACCAAGGGCCCCGCCACTGCCCCCCCGCCGCCCCCCCAGTCCGTCGGCTCTTCGGACGAGGAGGACGAGGACGACCGCGCCGTGGTTCGTTCTGTCCCGTGCTGCCGCTGCCTTTGGGCTATGTCCGTCTGGCACGCGGACATGGCCGACGCCGAGGCCAAGTTTCCCTGCTGCCTTGAGACCACTAGTAAGTGTCTAACCCCCTAGTGCCCCCTAGGGGCCCCCCTTTACCTGTGTCCTGGTCCTAATCGTACTGTTAGCCGCTAGTAATAAGTGCTCTTGGTGCGCTGAGATGCGCGGCAAGGAGTGCGTCTGAGTAAGTATTTCTGTATTGTTATCCTCCCTTTGCTGGCAGGAGGTGCTCTAGTGACCCCCTGCTGACCCCCTGTAGGCCACTTGCGCTATGACCTCTGCTGCCCTTGCCCTTAAGAACGTCTTTAAGGCCCTCTGCCACGATGGCACTGTGTGTGCTAACTACCGCTACTGTAAGGTATGTCCCTCCTAGTACCCTGTAACTGCCCCCTAACTAACCCCTTGTGTAGGAGGAGGTTGCCGCCGCCTAGACTGCGGTTAAAAAAGCCCTTTAAAAGAAGGTAGATACCGCTAAGGCCCCTGACGCTAAGCGTAAGGCTAAGGCCGAGGAGGAGGAGTGGCTCCTCTGCAGCCGCAAGGTTGCAGCCCTCAAGGCCTCTGCCGCCGCCGCCACCTCCCTAGCCAAGTCGGCCAAGGTAGCCGCTACGGCGCTCTAGCGCTAGAACGCGCTCCTTAAGGAGCAGACTAAGGCTATTAAGGCCTAGGGCGCCCTCTTCTCTAAGTAGGCCGCCACCTACTCCTAGGTTATATGTTATTCCCCCCCTAGTGACCCCCTGCTGCTCCCTAGTCACTAACTCTTGTTCTAGCACGCTGCTAACCTTGACTCCTAGTCTGGGGGCGACGCGGCCTCTGTCGCGCCTAGCGGAGGCGAGGACGAGGAGGAGGAGTAGGCGCTGCCGCCCCCCTAGTGCCTCCTCCCCCCTAGGCCCTCTCCTGGTTTTGTTTTCTTTTTCCTAGCCGCTACAGGCTTTAGATACCTAGCCCTTAGGCTATATACTTCCTAGCCTTAGTGCTAAAGAATAATAAAAAAAATCCGGCCCCTTAGGCTAAGTACTTACTTCTGCTTAGTATCCTTCTTACGCCTCCCTAGTAACCCCCTGCTTATAGTCTTACTATAAATCCTTAGATACGTTTCTCTATAGCTTCTATAAATTTTCCTTTTTACTATATCTCTTCTATTTAATAAGATACTACTTGTTTTACTATAGTCCCTTATATACTACTATTTAGTCTACCTTATATATATCTCCTTTTTTCTTTTTAATCTAGATAGGCTAAGGCTTTACTAGTGCTTCCTTAAACTTCTCTAGCTAGGATAGTAAGAATATATTATAAATATAGTACTTTATCTTTATATCTAGCTTATAGGCTTTCTTACTAGTAACTACCTATATTACTATAAAAGGTCTAAGATACTTATCTGCTAGCTTCTTTAATAGTTATTTTTACTTAATAAATTTAGCTAATAATAAGACCTTTTCCCCTACCTTAAACTTAACGTCTGTCCTTCTTTAGTTATATTACTTCTTATAGGTCTAGCTTATAGACTTTAGTGTGCTAATAATAGCAGCCCTCTAGCTTCTTAGCTCCTTAACCTTTTTATAAGCTATAGGGACCTTTACTAGTTTCTATCCTATTAGTCTTACGTTATAGGGGTTTTATAAGGCGTAACCTATAAGGGCTTCTACTAGTAATACCTTAGTCGCTTTATACTATACCTTATTATAGATAAATTCTACTATTAGAAGCTATTTAACCTAATTATCCTATTTTATGTTATAAAAGGCTTATAAGAAGTGTTTTATATTCTAATTCTACTACTTTATCTATTTATCTGTTTAGGGGTAGTAGGTAGTACTAAGTTTTTACTTAATAGCTAGCTAGTAGCACACTACTACCTAGAAATAGCTAGTAAATAGGGATCCTCTATCTAATATTATTACTATAGGGATACTAAATCTTAAGAACACCTTATCTACTAGGAGGGTTACTAGCTAGTCTGCTGTAATAGTCTCTTAGGTAGGCAGGTAGATAGCGTACTTTATAAGCTTATTTACTACTACTAGAATACTATTATACGCCTTACTATTAAAGCCCTTTAACTTTAGTAGCTTTATAATAAAGTCTATAGTTATATATTCCTATAGCTAGCTAGGCACTAGTAAGGGCGCTAGCTTCCTATATAGTAGGTAGTGCCTTAGTTTAGTTTGCTAGTATATTATATAAGTCCTTATATACTCCTTAACGTTTTTCCTTATTAACTTCTAGAAATATATTTATTTAATACGTTTAAGTGTATAGTTTACTTCTAGGTAACCCCTAGCTAGCTTATTATAAAATACTACTAGTAACTTTATCCTTACTATATACTTATTAAGGATAAATAGTCTTTTATTATACTATAGTGCTTTATCCTCTCCCCTTATCTATTAACTACCTAGTTATTACTACCCTTCTAATTAGGCCTACTTATCTACTAGTTATACTATAATAATCTTATTTTCTAGGTTAGTAGTAAGCTGTCCTTAGTCTAGTAACCTAGGACCTAGTGACCTACTGCGTCTAAACGTTACAGCCTGTTTCCTAAATCTGCTAAGGAAATCCGCTAGGAACGCGCTACGCGCTTCCCTCTCCTCCTCCTTAGTAGGCTAGTAGTCTAGCTGTTATAAGAGCCTATCTACTATGTTATCCTTCTTAGGCTAGTACTTAATCTTAAAGTTAAATAATAATAGATCTTATAGTAGCTAGGCCTAGTAACTATTAAGTTAGGGCTTAGCAGCTAGGTAGTAGTGCCTTAAATAGTCTGTTAAGAACACTATCTAATGTTATATATATAGTAGGTAGTGTCTTTAGTAAATTACTGCCTTATAGATTATAAGCAGCTCTACCTCTAGTGCCTTATAATAGAGTTCTACTCCCTATAGCTTTTATAATATAAAGGCTACTAGGTGCTACGCTTCCTTATAAAGCTAGTATATTACTATACTAATTATAAAGTTAGATATATCTATTTTAACCTATATAGGTAACTTAGGGTTAAAATACTAAAGGATTAAGGCCTAGGTAAATAAGGCGTAAAGCTTATAGAAAGCCTCCTCTACCTCTTACGTTATTACCTGCTCCCCTACTACCTTAGATATTAGCCTATCTGTTAAAGGGGTATATACCTTAAAGTAGTTTTTAATAAATTACTAGTAAAATCCTATAAACCCTAGGAAAACCTAGATCTCCCTAACGCTAGTAAGGAGCAGCTACTTTACTATTACCTATACTTACTTATACTTTATAGTAATCCCTTTGTTAGACACTATAAAACCTAGAAACCTAATAGACTAGGTGTAAAAAACATACTTCTTAGGGTTTATATATAGCTTTATAGCGTCTAACTAGCTTAGCACCTACTTAACTACTTCTATATAACTTTCCTTATCTTTTATAAAGATTAGGATATTATCTAAGTAGATAATATATATAACGTCTACTAGCCTAGTAAGGGTATTATTAATATACGCCTAGAACGTTACTAGTATGTTAACTAGCCTAAATAGTATAATATAATATTTAAAGTGTCTATAGTAAGTGTAGAAGGCTGTCTTTTACTTATTACCTGCCTTAATCCTTACTTAGTAATACATATCCTTTAGGTTTAGCTTTATATACTACTTTACTCCTACTAGATAGTTAAGAATCTTACTAATAAGGGGTAGTAGTATATAATTCTTAATAGTTACTTTATTAAGCCCCTTATAGTCTATATAAAGACGTAGCTTACCTTCTTTCTTAGGAATAAAGAGGATTAGCGCCTTTACTAGGCTTATAAAGTGTCTAATCTAGCCCTTCTTAAGTAACTTATTAATATATATCCTTAATTCCTCTAGTTTTTTCTTAGCTAATAGGTAGATAAGGCTAAACAGCGCTTCTGCCCCTAGCTCTAAATTAATTATATGTAAGCGGCCCTTATTACCTGCTAGCTAGGCTGCTAGGCCTACGTTAAACACGTGTGCCTATTCCTTATAGGCCTCTAGTAAGGTAGCCTTTATTCCTCTGTCCTATTTAGCCTCTACCTCTTCTCCCTAGTTATAACAGGGCATCTCTAGTGCTCCCCTGTCCCCCCTATATTATAGGTAGTAGATTATTAGTTAATAAGCTAGAACAGCCCTTAACTCCTTATACGCCTTCTTAATTTCCTACTTACTTTAGATAAGTTAGAGGTAGTCTTTTTTTAGTAGGTATATCTAACTAATTATTATCTACTTTATGTTTAGTTACGCTGCTTATCCTTAGGGGATCCCTAGGATAGCGTTATACCTAGCTGCGTTACTAACTTAAAAGGTGTAGCTTTACGTCCTTAAGACCCCTATATTATCTATAACTTCTATTACTACCCTTTTTATTCTATAGTCTAGGGCCTTACCTCTCTATATACCTTAAAGCGCTAGGCCCCCCTAGCTTACCTCTACTAGTACCTCTATATATAACATCCTCTAGTGTAGTACGTTCTTATCTACGCTAGGATTAATTAGCGCCCTCCCCTTTTTCTATACGCTGCCTATCCTAGTGTAGAAATCTGCCTTAAAGCAGTAGCGCGGTCCCTTATCCTAGGGGAGCTTAATACTATTAACCCCTATTAGCACTAGGGCGCACTGTCTCCCTAAGTGTTATAGTTATCTATACTTATAGTACTTCTCCTTACTACACCTAGCTAACTAGTGCCTAGGCTTCCTATAGTTATAATAAGTAGGTAGTCCCTAGGTCCCCTCTAGCTAAGGTGTTATACCTTTTTTTTCCTTTTTAACCCCTAGCTCTAATATAGGCATACCTGCTAGCGTTACAGCTGTTAGTGTTAAGCGTACGCTAGTAGCTTTAGTTAAGGGGGCGTCTGTAGTTATTAGTTACGCTGCTACCCCCTAGTAGCCTTTTCTCTCCTAACCTTACCTTAGCCGTCCTCCTAACACCTCTTTTATATAGGTCTTAGTAAGTGTCTTTACCCTCCTTACTACGTTATCTAACTCCTAGCGGGTAGCTAGTAGCCCCCTAGTAAGTATATAAGTCCTTAGGTCTAGGAGCACCTAGTTTAAAACGTAGACTACCTGCTGCCTCTTTGTTTAGGGGTTAGGGCACTCCTCCTTAACTATCTTATACTTATTAATAAATTATTAGTATAACTAGCCTAAGGCTTATTATATAGCGTCTAGCTTTATAGTAGCGCTAAAAGCCTACGTATTATTATTAGTAACGTCTACCTTTAGCTAGTCCTCTATAACTTCCTAAGGCACTCTACTAATCTTACCTCTATAATAAAAACCTATATACTTTCTTTATTTATACGCTAGGTTACCCTTTAGTATAGCACTAGTATATCCTACCTTATTATTATTAGTTATAAACTTATCCCTTACTATATTAAAACGCGTTTCTAACTAGAATAGGAATTCCTATAGTTTGTTCTAGCTCCCCCCCTTATACCTTAGGGTAGGTAATCCTTTTAAGAGCGCGTTAGTGTAGGGTTGCTTAGCCTCTAGTTAGGGATTAGTAGTTATCCCTATTTCCTCTTATACGTCTTCTACTAATACACTACTTTAAAGGGCCTTAATTTAATTAATTATCTTCCTTTTTCTTACCTTCTTTACTTCCTCCTCTAGAAGGGCCCTTAGCTTTTCCTCTAACAGCTTGCCTAAGTTAACAGCGCGCCGCTCATCCGCTGGTGCGGACTTAGTTATGTCAGGCGTCGGTTGTCCTGTTGTGGCGCTCCCTTGTCGCTAGGCCACGGTTTAGGATCTAGTAGGCACTATTACTGCTCTAGTAGTTAATACACCTAAGGATAGGGAGATATTAGAACGTGTTAGAGGCGGGGATAGTATTAAGTAAAGGAGTTAGCGATAGGCGTAGT